TTAAATTAATAAAAATGTTAAAAAGAAAAGCGAGAAAACAGCATCAGTGAATGAGAAAAACGCGTGTTTTGTTTGAGAAATAGCTAAATAATAAAAGGAAACGAGAAAATTCAAAAAACGGCGCCAAAAAATTAAAAGAAAGTCAATAAAAAGAAAAAAGCTATTTTTAATTAAAGAAGCCAAAATAAGCTAAAATGACCAAAAATTAAAGAATTTTTAAAATTATTTTTAATTTAAATATTTAAGGATTTTAAAGGAAGATTAAAAATAATTAATGATTATTGAACATTTAAAGGAGGGGGAGGAAATTAAATAAAAATAAATTTGTGGAAATAAAATTAATTTAATTGAGATTTTGTTTTGTATTTTTAAATTATTTGGAAAAGTAAAATCGAATTTGAATAAATTTTTGAAAAAAATTAAGGAAAAAATATTTTAATTATTATTTTGTATTTAGTATATAAAAACGTGAATAAATATTCAAAAGAAAATGATTAATTAATTTTAATTTTTTTATAAAAAAATATTGCTAAATTTAGCACTTCTCGTAGTAAAAAATGAGAGAAAGAGAAAGAAAGGAGAAAGAAAATGCTTTAAAAAACAAAACTTTTTAACAATTTTTATTTTTGTGTAAAATTTTGTTGAATTTATTTATTTAAAGCAGTGCGAGAATATTTGCGGGAAAGTTTAAAAAATTAAAGTAAAATAAAGAAGAAAAAAATAATTTTTGGAGAACAATTTGGAAAATTTCCAATCTAAACTTTTTTTAATTTAAAAAAAGGGCACAAATTTTATATATTTATTAATTTTAAATTTTCTTTAATAAATATGGAGGTTTTGAATATTTTTTTAATTAAGCAAAAAAGGAGGGGAGAACGTGCAAGTTAAGGTGAGCAATAAAAAATTAAAAATTGTGCGCGCAGAGTTAAATTATTTAAAAGAAACAAAGAAAGTGGATGGATGCGGAAAGTAAAAAAATAAAAAAAGGAAAAAAAAATACTGAAACTAAATAAATAAATAAATTCGTGGAAATGAAAAAAAAGGAAGTTAAAAATATGTGTATATATTTTTAGGTTTATAAAATGAAAGCTTTAAATTTGTGGAAATATATTCTTAAAATTATTTAATTAAAATTAATTTTTGAGGATATTTTTTAATTACTTCAAATTACTAATATTTAATTAAAGTGGAGTCAAAAAATACAAATGATAGTTCATTAGACGCGAATCATCGAGTTGAATCGAATAATGTTCGTTTGAAAAAATCTGTTGGGAGTAAATCAAGAAGTAATCAACTAAAATTGCCCTATTGAATTCAGTCTCCAAATTTCAATCGAAATTGGTTAAATCTAAAAACCTAATACTGATACACAAAAATGTATACAACTCAACTGGACGAGTTGCATCAAATGAGATATTTAGCATTTGTCTTTAATTCTCAAAAAAATTCACTAGACTATAAATTTTATAAAAATAATCAAAAAAGAAAGGAAGTATATTCTTTAACAATAATTTTTTTGTTTTTTAAAAAATTCTTTAAAAAACTAAAACAATTGGGGTTTGCCAAAAATGGAAGAATAAAATAATTTTCTTAATAAATTAAAAAAGGGAAGAAAGAAATATGTAGAAGCCAAACCAAACCGCCCAGCCACCACCTACAAACACTACCTAGTGCTTCTTCCTTTTATTTATTTTTTCTCCCACAAAAGATTATTTTAATCCTTAACCTTTTTTTATTTCTTTTTTTAAAACTAAAAAATAAGTATTATTTATTTGCCTTTCTCGTCTGTGAATAATTTAAAAAACAAAAGAAAAAAGAGGAAGTTAATAAATTAGTAGAGAGAGATTAATTAATTAATTAAAAAAAGATTTTTCTGAAAATACCTAACATCACAGAAGATTTCATTTTAATTTAAAACAAAAATTGAAAAGGAAAAAGGGAGCTAATTAAAAATATTCACCTACCAATAAAAAAAATATTCCTAAAAATGCAAAAATATACTTATTGAATTAAAACACAATAGTAATTGCTTTTATTCAAAAATATATTAAAAATAAATAGAAAAAATGGGAAAAAATTTTCAATTAATTTTTAGAATATATTTAGAGAAAAATATGCAAATAAATGCAAAAATAGAGAAAATAAAATATTTTTAATGAAGAAAATAAATGAAATGGAAATTTTAAAACGTCAAAAATAATTAAAATATTTATTTTCATATTAGCATTTAAAAATACCTTTTTGGTTTGGTAAAAGGAAAAAAATAAAAGAATTTGGAAAGGTGTGGACAAGATTTATAAATAAATAATTTTTTGAAGTATTTTCAATAAAATGTAAACAAATTCTTTTAAAGGAGGAACACTTAAAGAATTTAAAGGTTTATTTATTTACGAACAAAGAATAAATATTAAAAAAATATTTTGCAATTTATTTAAATGATCAAAAAATAAAAAAAAAAGTAAATTTATTTTTAAGTAAATGAGATTTTATAAGAGAAAAAAATGTTGAAAAAAATTTTTTATTTAATTTTTATTATACTGGAAAAATCCAAAAATAGGTTTTATTTAATATACCTAATTATTTTAAAATAAAAAAAAATAGAAATAAAAATTCTTGTAACCATAAAATAAATAAAATTAATTAAATGTAAAATAAATAGCGTCATATGTATTAACTAAGTAAAGTAATACTTACGTGTTTTTTATTTAATGGATTTGTGCAAAAAAAAAAATAAAATTTAACAAAAAAATTATTTTAAAATTAAGTTTAATTTTACACAGAGCTACGTAACAGCTTCCTAAACTGAATTCTAGTTCAATTAGAGACATTAATATAGAAAAAATTATTTTTAAATAAGCTGTGCCTTGAGTCACCGGCTTTAGCAATTGAGAAAAGGAGAAAGAATGGCCATTCTTAACATATAAAGGGAAAGTAAAAATATAATAAATTTATAAAAAACAGAACAAACATTATATTTACAAACTACTAAAATATAAAAATGATTTAAAAAATTTATAAACTACAAAATACAGTTAAAAACAAAATATTTAATATATATTTACATACATTCTATTTTATTATTTCAACAAAAAAATTAGTAATGTAAAAATTATTTTGAATTTGTGTACAATGACTAAAATAAGTTTTTTGTGATTGTAAAAAAGAAAGGAGGTTACACAAATAAGTAAGAGTTAAAGAGAGATTCCCAATATATTTGCTTTTAGAAATTATTTGTTTTTCAAGCTTTTTTAAGGTGATAGGTTGTTTATGGGACTGAAAAGTGAAGATAAATGGGACAAGAATACTCCAATTTATAGAGAATGAGGCAAAGGAAACGTGTCTGGTATTATCACCAGTGAATGAATTGGGCAGTGAGTGATTTTGGCAGTAAACGTTTTTAAAAAAATCCTTCTGCAAAAACAATTTGCTTATGATTAGAAAAATAATTACCTATTTATATACAATCTCGGCATTAACGTTTATTTTACTTTATTTAAAGAATAATTATAAAAACAAAATGGCAAAATGATAAAATTAAATGAAAAGAGATGGGTAGCTAAATACGGCTCCATTGCCACAATCACCCAATTATTAAGGCTCAAATAACGTTTATTAACTTAATTCTCAGTTTACTTCCGTCAAAATATGAAAATTAAAGAAAACTCAAATACTTTAATGAACACACTTATTTAATAAAAAATAAGCAGTTTAAAAAATTAAATAATATTTAGATTTGAAAATCAGAAAATAAATCACAATCGGATATAGTTAGAAATTAAATTAATTTTTTTGAGAAAATAATTTTTAAAGAAAATAATTTAATATCAACATTTATTTTTAAATATACCAATTAAAATTTTGAATATTTTTTTTTATTTTAAATTTTTTTAATTTTCTTTTTTGGAATTTCTTCCAATTCTCCTTCTTCTTTATCTTCAATAACTTCAATATCGTCCTCATCATCTCCTTCTTCCTCGTTATCTGAAAGAATTGTAACTTCACAGTTGGCAAAAGAAGAATTGTTTTTTTGTTTTTTAATTGAGGATTGGCTAAACTAAAAATTAATTTCTTAAAAAATAAATTTAGAAAAAAAAATCTTCAAAATTTTTAAATTTAAAAAAAAAGAAAAATGAATTTATTTTTGTCTTGTTCAGTCAAATAAAAATAATTTTTAAAATTTACTTGATCACTTCGTTGACTGTCCCCATTTAAATTAAACAAAGCATGCTTAACAAAACGCCCAACAGTTTTCCCATCATATTTTGGTCTTTTATTTAAATCCTCGTATTGCTTTAATTTTGCAATATATTCTTTTGTTCTTTTCTTTAAATTAATTTTAAATTAATTTTTGTTAATTAAATATTAATGTAAAAATCATAATTAACGTAAATACCCTAATAATTGGAAAACAAAAATTAAAAAAATTAAAAAAAAACCAATTCAACAGCAAGTTCACTGTTTTGACTAGGATCTTTTCCTTTGCAATGTAAATAAGTCCAATACAGAGAGTTTACAGCAAAAAGAGTAGCCAATTCGAATTTTGCTTTATCCAAATTTGAAGTCTAAAAATAAATTTAAAATTAAAAAAATAATTAAAAGAAAACCTGTTCATTTTGTTGTAAATTTAAATGATTATCTAAAGCATCTTCAAAAGAAGTCAAAGCTTTGTCAAAATCAGATAATTTTTTAATTACATCTTCCGGAATTTGTTGCATTTTTTTGGTAAAAATAAAATAATTTTTTTAAGTTAAAAAATTGCTTAAAATATCTAAAAAAATTTAGAAAATTAAAAAACAATTAAATAATTTGTCGCTAAATAAAAAAAACACAAAATCGGGCTATACTCAAAAGTCCCCATGTCAAATTGTTAAACAGTGAAAAGGGTAAGTAGACAAAACGCCAATTATTTTAATAAAATATAAATTACTGTATTTATTACTAAATATTACAGTTAAAGTTTAATAAAATTAAATTTTAAAAATATTAATTAATTTATTCCTCTATATAATCTTTAAATGTTTGTGCCTCTTCAATTTTAAACGTTCTTTACATATACAACTAAAATTAATTTAAAAATAATTTGTATCTAATTTAAAAACCAAATCATCCCTGTTGCTGTCAACATACATTCCATATCTTTATTTTTGTAATCATTACAGTCAATTAAGGCTATATGTTCACAATTAGCTAATAAAATAAATTTTAATTAAAATATCCCCCTCCCCTCCCTTCTCCCCCCTAAAAGGGGGAGAGGGATCCCTCCCTCACTCCCTCCCCCTCTTTCCCTCCCCTCCCCTCTCTCACTTACCCATTTCAATTAAAACATTTGATATTGAAGAATGACGTTTCGTTTTCTTTTTCCAAATATTTCTTTTTATTTCTTTTATTGGAGAAGAATTTTTAATTAAACTTTAATTTTAATTTAATTTTATAAATTAAAACCTTTTATAAATTTCAGATTTTTCTTTTTTTATTGCCAAATTTTGAATAATTAATAAAAATAAAATAATTAAAATATAAAACATTTTATTTAAAAATTTTTAAATTTTCTTTTTGGGAAAATAATTAATTTTAGCATCTCGACATTGGAAAGAAAATAAAATTAAATTTAGTTTGTAACTATTTAGCAAGTTTTTCGCAAAATAATTATATTTTTGTAATATTAATTTTGTAAAAAGAAAAAGAAAAAATATTTTTTTCAAATTTGTTTCCTTTTTAGTTTTATTTTAAAATTAAAAATAACTTTAAAAAAGAGAAGTTATATTTAGAATAATTATTTTTAATTTTAATGCAAATATCCCCTACATTCAATTTTAATTATTTAACCCCCTAAATTTTTAATTCCAAATTAAAATATAAATTCAAGTTTTAATAACAACTAATTTATTTATTTTATTATTTAATACAATCTAATACAGTGTGTCCGGAAATGATATAACCACTTGCATTTTTAGTGATATCTTTCCTTAAACTCAATATTTTCACTTCTTTTCTTTTTTATATTGATAATATTTGTATTCTGAATATCTGTGCAAAATTTTATTTAAATACCCCTATCCATAAATTAAATTTATTTAAAAGTGATCGTTTTTCAACCGTCGGAAATGATATAACCACCTAGGATAATTCTGTCTTGGATGGTAGAAAAAATCCATAAAAATTCCAGTGATTATATCTATTGATATCAATATGAAATACAAAAGAAACAAAGTTCTAATATACTTCCATCATTGAGATCTCGAAACTCGAAAATCAACGGAAAACGGGGGTAAATGTCTTTAAAAAATATTTTCGACCCCTTATACGAAGTATTAAATTTTTATTTTATACAATTCTGAAAGCTCTTTAAATTTGCTATAAAACCATAAATTTTTCTTTTCTAGAAAAATTTTTTTATTGAGTTATACGGTCTTGAAATACTAATGCTTTAAAAAAGGCTTTTTTATGGGCAAATTTAATGCAACTTGAATTTAACACTGATTTACTCCTAGGTAAAATTTTTTTTATAGTAACATTTAGGCATTCTTATAGCGAATTAAAAGGGCTTTCAGAATAGTATGAAATGAAAATGTAATAAAGTCTATAAGAGGTCGAAAATATTTTTTAAAGACATTTACCCCGGTTTTCTGTTGATTTTTGGATTTCGAGATCTCGATGTTGGATGCATATTAGAACTTCATTTCTTTTTTATTTCTTGTGTATATTGGTAGATATGTTTGGAGAAATTTTTGTGGATTTTTTCCATAAACCAGAACAAAAGTATCCGAGGTGGTTATATCATTTTCGGACACCCAATTTTAAGATAAATTGATATAACTTTTGATTAACTTAATGATATCATCTCAAATTCTGCATATGCACTATAAATGATATTCAAAATATTGTGTCAAAATTTCAGGAAAATAGAACAAAGAGAAACCGATTTACACCTAAAAAGTTGGGTGGTTATATCATTTCCGGACACACTGTAGTTAATATAATTTTAAAATTAAAAAAATATTAATTATTTAAAGTGAGTAAATTCCATAACGACGAGCTGATTCACGTAATTCTAAATAAAAATTATTATTTTAATTTAGCAATTTTTATTTTTACTTGTTACAGCATGCATTATTTTCTTTCTAGCACCTAAAGTAGATACTCCAAGAGTATTTAAACAAGGCTCATCCAATAACAAAAATGCCTTTAAAAATTAAAACAAAGTTTTTTTCTTTTAATTTTCTTTTTTACCTGCATATCAATTTCTTGTTCACGAAATAAATTAATATGTTCAGATAACCCTAATTGGGTTAATACAGAAGAGGGTTCAGTCAAAACACGAATATCCCATTGAGGGGAAGGAGGGGGAGGAGTAGAAGGAGGAGGAAGTAATTGTTGTTGAGTACATTCATTATTGTTATTTTCATTTAATTGAAATTTAGAAGATTTATTTTCATTAGGAATTTTGGAGAAATTTGGAGTAATAATATTTGTAGTCGTCTCGAAAAGACAAGAATTTCCTGCACTCATTGCAAATTCTTTAAAAATAAAATATTTTTAATTAATTTAATTCTACTACTTGGAGCTCTTTTTTGTTGTTCTCCAGCCTGTAAAGCTGCTACTCGAGGATGGACAAGTGCTGTTGCTTTTTTTGTTTCAATTAATTGATTTTTTAATTTATTATTATTATTTTCTTCTTCTTTTTCATCTCCTTCTTGTTCAGAAATTAATATTTGATTATTTAAATTATCTAAATTATTTGTTGTTGATTTTGTTGGAAATGTTTCAGTGGAAGTGGAAAAAATATTAGAATTTAATAATTGAGAAGAAGAAGAAGATGTTGGAGGAGGTGGAGGAGGAAGAATATTTTCATTAAAAATAGGAAGCAATTTCTATAAAAAAAATTATTTTTTTAAACACATTCAAGAAAAAAACTCTAAAAGGAAATATTTAAAATATATAAGGTTATTAAAAATAAATAATTACCTTTTCATTAATTAAATTTTCTTCTTTTATTTTATTCTGTTCTTCTTCGTCCTCTTCTTTATTTTCTTCTTCTTCTTCATTTCCTCTACCAACAATTGGTCTTCCTTTAATTTTATTTTCTTCTTCATTCCAAATATTTTTTGAATTATTTTTAGAAATTTTACTAAATAATTCTGTTGGTAAAGAACTACTAAACCCATAAATTGCCCAAATATCATTCGAAGTTAATTTCTCTTTTTTATTATTTAAATTATTTTCATTAACAAAAATTGCTTTAAAAATAATTATTTTTAGAAAATTAAAATTAAAATTAAATTTTTATTTACATTTATTTGCTGTATTAATTGCTGTATTTCTAAGCCTTAAACGTTCTCGATCCAAAATTTTTCTAAATTCTCCTTTTTGTAAATTAACACTTTTAGCACCCGCAAGTAATCCAGCAGCTATTGGCGATTCCTTTATTTTTAAAATATAAATTATATTTTTATTTTAAAAAAATTACTTGAGGATCTGGTGATTTAGGTCCCCCACCTTCTCCGTCTTCTTCTAATAAATTTAATTTACAAATATTTTCCAATTGGTTTCCCCAATCTATTTTATTTGTATTTATAAATCCTTTTGTTTCGTTAACAGAAAGTGAAAAGTTGGATGGAGATATTAATGGTTGTTGTTGTTGTTGTTGATCGGCTTAAATTAATATATTAATTTAAGAACAGAATTATTTTCTTCTAAAAATTTACGATTAGTTATGGCTCTTTAGTTACGGCCCCTTGGTAAAATTTTAGGAAATTTTTTTGAAGATTAAGTAGATTTGGGAAAAAAACTTATCAAAAGACTTTCACGGCATAAACTACGCATTAATGCGGCTCTGTCATTGTCTTGAGGAAACTGGTCATCGGAATCAGCATTTTCTTCTTTGGATTTTTCTGGCGATTCTGATGTTTTATTTTGATTATTTAATTGAAGAAGTTTATTTCTAGCCAAATAAACATTGAATAAATTTGCCTTTAATTTTTTAAATGATTTTTTAATAATTTAGAGGTTTTGTTAATTTTCGTTAAAAATTAAAGTTATAATATCTCTCATTATTTTAACATTAATTAATTTACCTACCTCATAAGTACAAATAATATATTCCCTTTCATCATTTCCACTTTCCCTTTCATTATTTATTTTTGGCATTTTACGTTTTCTTTTTTCAGAAATTTGTAAATCTAATTCACGTTCTAATATTCTTAATAAAGAATTTGTTGGAGTTGGTAATTCTGTTGGTTTTTCAAATTGTAGAGATACAGGCAATAAACCCTTTATATTTAAAAAAAATAATAATTAATCTTTAAAAAAAGAAAGGGTATTTAGGTGTTAGAGTTTCACCGGAAGTTCCGGTTCCGGTCAAAATTTCGGTTCCGGTGAAATACTAATAGGATGTATTTTTTAATTTCGAATATTTCTAATGTCAATTAAAATTATAAATACATGTAACTTTATCATATAATTATAATTAAAAAATTATTTTCTCCTTTACCGTTATAAACTTCCTTGCCACAAAAATTCCTTCTAACGGTCCAGATATTAATAACCCTTGTGCATTTAATTGTATTTGTGTATTTGTTCTGTATTTAATTTAAATATTTAAAATAGTTTAAAAGCCCCCAAAAAATACCTAAAAGCAATCCATCTAAGAGCACTTAAAGAAGGCAAAGCGGATGATCGAATTTCAAATTGTGAATAACAAAAAAGTTCTTCTCCCGTTGGCTTTAAAAATATTAAAAATTATTTTTTTAAATAAAATTAAATTTAAAAACAAAAATTCCAATTAATTGACATATTTTTCCAAAAGCTCTAAGCATTTCTAATTCATTTCGAGTACTTGAACGCATTACAAAATGTAAAGAACCAAAAGATAATGGACCTAATCCACATGGACTAAATTGAATATTTAAGTCGTTATTTGAATTATTTGGATTGAAATGACGTTGTAAATAAACTGGAAAGATATATAAAATAAATAAAATATGTTAATAACTTTTCTATTATTAAATAAATGAAATTCTAAAAATTACATACCTGGGTCTAGTCGTGGTTGAATAGCACGAACACTTCTCGATAATGATAATTGTATATTTACAGAAATTGTCAGAGGACCACTTGCCTAATTTAAAATTTTTAATTTTAAAATAAAAATTTATTTTTTATTAAAACTCTAAGTAATTCTCTAGCTTTTTCAACATCTTTAACACATCCAGATATTGAAACTTGATCATTTTTTGCTTGAGGCAATGTTGGACTTAATACCTTTATTTAAATATTTATTTTTGAGAGAATTAAAAAAAAACTTTATTAGAATCTGGAAAATGAATATGACAACCAGTATCTCTCATTATCTGTTGAGTATTTTTACCCGCTCTTCCAATAACTTGTGAATGAAGACAGTGGCTAATTTCCATTTTAAGGGTTGCTTTCTCCTTCTTTTTTTAAAAGTTTAATTATTATTATTTTTAATTATATTTTTTACCCTAACTCTTAATCTTTCAGAAATAATTAGTGCAGCTTTTTGAATGTTTAAAGAACTTCCAATTAATTTTATAACAACATCTAAAAGTATTTTTAAAATTAAAATTATTACCAAAAAATATAAAATTTTGGTTATATCTATATTTAATTGTTGATATTTTATTTTAAAATAACAATAAGTGGAGAGGAGATATTTATATATAAATTATAAAACTAAAAGTTAAAAGATATTATTATCAATAATGGAAAACAAATAACTGCCACAGCTTTCCCTCTGTATATCCTAAGGTTTTTTTGATTAGGCTTAGTCATATTTATTTTAAATAACAAATTAAACACCTTTTTTTGTTTTTGCTTTAATCTTTAATCTCGAAGGCCAATAAACTTTTGCCCCAGTTATTTTCTCAACTCTATTAAAAAATGTTTCAGCATTTTCACCTTGTATTTCACCTAAAATATTTTTTGATTAAATTTTAAAATAAAAATGAGAGATCGGACTTGGAGGATAGTACGCGAATCGAGATCTTGTCTCGGTTCAGTCTCTAATAAAAATCAACAAATTTCCAAAAATAAATTACCTATAATCATAGCTTCTAATCTTCTTCTATCAACTTGAACTTTTAATTCTGTCATGGATTGTTCTATTAAAGGATTAGACTTTTCTAAAGGTAATTTACTATTAATTTTCATTCAATTTTGAATAAATAAATAAATATTTTGCTGATTTTTTATTCAAAAAATGGAGAGGTTAAAAACAAAATTATTTTTATTATTAATTTTTTCCTTCTCAAAAATATCAATTCACGTTCAGCGATCGCGCGGGTTTTAGTCGCCTAACAGCAATAACTCGCCTAACAGTCATTATTTTATCAAATTATTAAGTACCAAACCACTCTTTTAGTTGATGAATTTTCGTAAATAATTAATATTTTTTGTTCTCATTTAAGTGCGAGATTTGTTTGTGTGTGATTATTTGGTGATTATAAGTAGGTATATTTTTGATTGATTATATTTTAAATAAAAAATTAAATATATATGTTATTATAATTATCCATCATTTAAAAAAAGTTATTGGTTAAACGCTAATTAATTAATTAATACATAAGGACTTTTTTTAAATAAGGACTGAAGAAAATATAATATAAAAATGTTTATTTATTTATTTAAAAAAACTTTTTAGTAATCAATGGCAAAAAAAATAATTAAAAATAAATAATTTCATGTTAATAATTGCAAAAAAATTTAAAAAAATAATAATTTAATTTTGCATTCTTCAGTTAAACTTATTTGGCAAAGCCTGATTTGCCAATTAAAGTGTTAAAAAGTTAGAAAGACTTTAATGAGTTTAATAAAATATTAGTTAACTCCAAATCCCCCCAGATTGGGAAGATTTAATAGAGGGATTGTTATTATTAAAAGGAAATATTGTAGTCGATTGAACATCAATTTGATCACGACAAATGCCATTATCACATGTAAATTGTTCTCCACATTCTTTGGCTGCATCCCGGCATGGAGTACCTTCAATTCTTAAACAAATTCCAGAATCACAACGTTCGCCTTAAAAATATTAAAATAAAAATTTAATTTATTACAAAGAATATTTTTCGAAGAATTTAACTAAAATATTTATTTATTAATACCAATTTGGCAAGCTTTTCTATAACATTCGTCTTTTGTGCAAATACCTCCAATACAATAATAGGGTGGAGGACAATCTTCAACTGCAGATGTATGTGAACATAATAAACCCTTTTTAAATACTTACATATATTTTTATTTTTAAATCATTTACTTGAAAATGTCTACATTCTCCTTCAGGATTACTTGTTGGAGAACAAGCATGTTCTGGGGGACATTTTACTCTTCCATTTGCTGCACAAACATCAGAAACGCAACGTCCATCACGGCAAAGATGTAAATCTGGACATTCCCCTGAATTAGCACAATTTGTTCCACTTGAAGGAATACAAAGTCCATTAAAACAACTATTCCCTGAAGGACAAACAATTCTTGTACAAGCTAAAAACGTCAAATATTCAATATTAATCTTTAAGTTTATAACCTTCTCCATCATTTGTTACACATTTATCTTCACTTAAAATTTCCCCAGGATCACATTTTGGTGAAGGATGAGTTAAAACAGGTCCTAAAGTATCAAAACGGCGCTGACATTTTTGTTGTTTACATTCATAAAGGGATGGGGGGCCACAATCAAAAGGGGAAAAACATAAAATTGATGTTATAGACATACACATTCCATCACGACATATTTCATTAGTTTCGTCACAAAGAATATCGGCACATTCTTTGAGAAAAATTGAAATTTAATTAGAAAATATTTTTACTTAATTTTGTTTAATTTCCTGTAGAAAGATTTAAATATCGTCCTTAAATTCCTTCATCTTTACTGAATCCTTGAGACAGATTTACTATATGTCAATCAAAAACTAGTAGCGTCAATTTATTTTGTTGACAGAAAACTACATAATAACTATTGTACATATTAACTATTATTATTCCCTGACGGATTAACTACATATTAACTATTACTAAATATTAACAAAAGAATATTAACTATTCTAAATTCACAAACAGAATTTAAGTATTAAAAAAATATTATTTTCTTTACTATCAATACTGCAACGTCCACCCATACATTTTCCTCTTGGCCCACAATCGGATACAATAGTACGTGCTAATCCCTTCCCTACCAAAACATTACGGCCACAAAGTCTTCCAGAAAAAGAAATACATTTCACAGCATCTGTACAGACAGAATCTCTTCCACATTTAATCTTTTTTTTAAATCGCAAACAATTTTTTTAAATTTAAAAACACCTTTAAACAATCCCCATAAGGTTCTTTCCCCATTTCATCTAAACAACGATCAAATTGGCATTCATAACCAATTGGGCATTCATATTAGTAGTTACCCCACCCGGACCGTATCAAAGGGAAATGCCGCCAATCTATAGGAGGGGTGTCGGGGGAGGGGTCTGGGGGAGGGGTCCGACAAAAAACCAAAGGGTATGAGGGGGTTTTGTCGGCTTTTTCTTTTGATCTTTTTGATGACCCTCTTTGATCTTACCGCCAGGGTAATAAATTATTAATCGGGGGGAGGGGTCCGAACTAATTTGTACCTCATAAATCATTTCAAGGGGAGGGGTCTGCCCCCATTAACGCGAACCTATTGACGGATTTGGCGCGCGATGGGGGAGTGGTAAGGGGAATTAATTAGTACTAACTGGTTTGGGGGTTGGGTGTAAGAGGAAATCAATTAGTTGATTGATTGATTGGATGATTGGTCTGGCGGAGGGGGTAATAAAAATTTTATTACCAAGAGGTGTTAATTGATTGACTAATTGGTTTGGGGGTTGGGTGTAAGGGGAACTTTTTAGTGCTGGGTGTAAGTGGAAATCAATTAGTTGACTAATTGATTTGGGGGAGGGGGAAGGGTGAAATCAATTTGTTTTACAAATTGGTCTGGGGAGGGGTCGGGTGACATTTTTATGACCGACAGGTGTTAATTGGTTGACAAATTGATCGGGGTTGGGTGTAAGGGTGAAACCAATTTGTTTTACTAAATGGTGTGGGGGAGGGAGCGGGAAGGGTCCACCGTATCAAAGGATGCCGCCACTACTTTGATTGATGATCAAAGAGAAATGCCGCCGAGTCTGACGGGCTGGACCGAGGGGAACCAATTAGTGACTAATTGGTCGGGGGAGGGGGCAAGGGAAAAACAATTTGTTTTACTAATTGGTCTGTGGGAGGGGGTGGGAGAAATTTTTATTTCGGAGTTACGTAATTAACAGGGTGATCTCATGGGTGTTGATCTTTTGGGTTTAACTTCCTTTTCCCTTTCTTTTCTTCACTGAAAAATAGAGATTTTTGGAAAAATAAGGTACTTTTGTAAAACGTCATAAAAATTTTTCTAGGACCTAACTTAAAAAACTGACCGGTCATTTTCTAGATAACTCTTTGCCCTATCAGATGCAAAAGACCGCATCTGTTTATCATTTTGCCTAAAGTTGTTATTAAACAAAATACTCATTAATTTTTTTTATTAATTTTTATTTTATTAATTCAACATTTAAATTTTACAATGAAAATTTTCAACTTTTCTTAAATTAATGTCAGTTTTTCCCTTCATTCTGCTTTTCGTTTACTTCCAATCTTTTTGTACGGTGCCAGAACATCTGTAGCAGTGCTATTAGCTTTGACACAGTTATTGCATAATCCTATCTTCACAGTAACACAAGAAGGATTCTCTTCAAATTTGTCTTTTGAATAAAATAATTTGTTTTGGCAGTCTAAAAATTTAATTTTTGAATAGAATATTAAATTTTATTACCTTGACACAGATAGAATGTAATTAAGAATTTTCCGCGTATTAGCTTCCAAAGTTGTTGTTGTTTAACAACATGCTCTTCAACAATCTTTATTTTATTTAGATCAACAGGAGGATTAGTAAGAGTTGACTCTTAAAAAATTTGTATGGTAATAATTATTATATTATTAAACCTAAAGAGCTTTTTGATTCCTTCTTTTTTTCCAATTTCACAGGTTTTGAAACGGAAATTTCTTTGCTTTTCTCACAATCCCCATCTTTTAAAATAGAAACTTAATCAGGTTTTTAAAATGAAAAGTTACCAATCTTCTCAGTGGCTGAGTTATTTTGTTCCATTTTTTAATATTAAATATTTAATTGTAGTACAAATTGTTGTAAATTATAAAGAATGACCTTGAGAAATAAAAATTATTGATTTTTTAAGTAAAAAGTGGGCGTGGCTTAATATCGATTTTTTAAAAATGGCTTGGCTTCGCTTTTAAAATGGCTTGGCTTCGCTTTTTCAAATTTGGTGTCTTGTTCAAAATAGATACACATAAAGTTGAGAAATACTGTAGGGTTAGAGAGTACAGACACCTATTAGAGTGAGAGAGGACGAATTTTGCGAACCATATGGTTCGCAAAATGTTTGCTCAGTCGACGATACTAGTTCTCGCAAGCGTGAGACAACATCTCAACTACCTCTCCCACCACCCCCACCTCCGCCTATGCCTCCACAGGAGGAATTATTAACAACTATACCCCCTCCTCCTGCACCACAAGAGGAAATATTAACTCCATTACTTGCATCTCCACAAAAAGAAATACAAGCACAAGAGTCTCACGTAACATTATCTCCAATCAAAGAAGAGTCGTTAGTTAAAGAAAATGATGATGCAGTCCTTTTAGAGTTTTTCGACTCTATGCAAGCTGTCACTATGGGAATATCTTCGGACGTAGAGGTTAAGAATGAAGTAATAGCTAAGATGGAAGACACTAATTTACAACCCCCTCTTTAATTCACCAAGTATTTAAGTTCATTAATTTCCAAGTTTTATAATTTTTCTATCATTTAATATGGAAACGCTAACTTTTTCAAATAAAGATTTAAAACTCAAATTGCCTTTTGGTATGATTGTCTCAGGCCCTAGTTCTAGTGGCAAGAGTACGTTCTTGCTCAAATTTATTTCAGAGGTAGAAGAGTTAATTGAACCCAAGCCAAAGAGCATACTCTATTGTTTTGGCGAAATGAGTAGTATTGTACCAATACTTCAAAGATCTGGTGTTAATGTCTTTGTCGGAACCCCACCCGAAGAATTAATAAAAACACTCCCCAAGCCACTTCTTCTAATTTTGGATGATCTTCTTTTGTCTATTGATGAAAAATATTTGTCTGAGCTTTTTACAAAAAAGTCACACCATCAAAATTTCTCTGTTATATTTGTCACACAAAATTTATTCGATCGAAAAATTAAAGTTGCTCGTCAAAATGCCCAATACATTGTACTAATGCGTTCACCTAATTCAGCCCTTGCAGTAAGGAATATAGGAGTCCAGCTCTTCCCTAGAAGGCTTGACTATTTCTTGGACGCCTACCGTCAAGCAACAAATCAGCCCTATGGATATTTATTGATCGACATGCATGCCTCCTCTGATCCAACTTTAAGACTTAGGACAGGAATATTTAAGGAGGACGAAAAAATTATTTTCACTCCAAAGAGTGGAATTTAAAATGGTTAGTCATTTAATAAACGAGAATTCAAATTTTCTTACTAAATTATGTCATACAAAATCACAACGAAAAATTCGTCGACTGTTACGACTTGCTAGTAATACTCAACTTTTAACACTTGTTGAAATATGTCTTAACATTGTAAAATCTCGATTTATGTTGACACCCCGTCAAAAGAATCGTTTAATGCCTTACGCCTGTTTTGTCCGAAAAGTAAGTAGGGCACGAAGTGAAAGAGGAGCAAGACTTGCTTTGCAGAAAGGAAATGGTATTGGAGCTTTTGCCGCTCTCCTTACCCCAATACTCATTGAACTTGCGCGCTCTATAAAAAGCGGAAATTAAACAGAATTATATTTTAAAGTATTTACTAAAGAAACTATGGCTAATAAATTTGTCCTCGTTCCGCAAGAAATTTATCGCGGGCTTACTAGTTTTGATACTGGTGAACCAAATCTTGATGATGTTCGAAGAACACACGATAAAACTCGAAGGGTGAAGGAACATCCTAGTGTTAAAAACATTCACTACAACCAAGAATTAAGGCGTTATTTACATTTACGTAACGAAAGAGAAAATCGACCAGTTAGAGTTGAAATGGTCGCTTCACCCAAGGGGGCTATTATGAGTAATGAACAAGCGGGCCCACCTACAAATATTGCCGATAATGACGATGATTTGTGGATGAGCGATAATTTCTCATTTTCTAATTATCCTAGAGAACCTCCCAATAATGCTTATAATGTTGTGCCTCCTCTCTCTGAATCTTCTTACCATCCATCTTTACCTTCACTACCTAGAAGTAGAGACGCTCTAAGAGAAGAGGTGTCTCCAACACCTCGCCAGCTTGTAAAAAGGAAAGATAAAACAAATGGAAATGGTTCAAAAAGGATGAAACCCATTAAAGGAATTAAAAAGTCTAAAATTCCTGTTAAAAAGAAACAAAAGAAGAGGGTAACGGCAACGCTAAATTTACCTTCAGCTTCTCAAGTTGAGAAACAAACAGATTCAGTTATTGATGCTCAAAATGCCCCTTTAAAGGATTCTAATCCTGTAGCTTTAAAAAGAGACCAAGATTCCAACAGTGTTGAAGCATTCAAGAGAAGCAAAAATATATATGAAAATAAAGAACTTAGGTTAAGAGAACAAATTGCAAAGATTCAAAAGAAGAAAGAGCTATTAAGGAGAAGAAAAATTTCCCAAAATGTCAAAGTCCCTCTTGATCATAGTGTAATTCAACAAATACGTCGAGATGAGGAGGCTGAACTTTTAGATAGCGCTAAAAGATCTCGTCGTCGTCATAAAATATTGAGAGAAGGTAGATCTCCGTCTCCTTCAATACCTCGTGAGCGCTCAAAAAGAAAATATGAAATTCCTGAAGGAACCAGGTTATTACATTATAAAAGGATAAAAAGACCTGTTTCGAAGAAAAAATCAGAGCGTCTATCAAAGGCATGGCTGGAAAAATTAAGTATGATAAAAGGGCGTGCGAGTGGAAAATACAAATGGGCAACGAAAAAGCCGACCCAAGAAGATTCAAGTTCTCGACATATAGGTGTAAAAGGGCGATTAATTGGAAAGAAATGGGCTGTAAAGAAACCTTCTCAACAGGATATAAATAGATTTAAACCATCTTTATGGTGAAAAATGGCAGATTATACAAAACTTTTGCAACATCTCTATAATGACCCCGAATCTCCTGCAGCCTTTTCAGGAGTTGACAGATTATGGCACGAAGCCCGCAAAGTTCTTAAAAATTTACCTAGAAGCGTTGTACAAGATTTTCTCGAGGGGCATCGGACTTATACTCTTATGCGTCCTAAAAGAATTCATTTTCCTCGCAGCAAAACTGTAGCATCGGGCTTTATGACAGATGTTCAAGTTGACTTGGCGGATTTTCAAACACTTTCTAGACATAATAAAGGAAATAAATATTTACTATTGGGGATTGATGTTTTATCTAAACGTGTTTTTGGTGTAGCTGTCAAATCAAAGAAAGCTGAAGATATGTTAGAGGCATTTAAACAATTAATCGATCAAATGCCTATGAAGCCACATAGAATATTCTCTGATAGAGGTTTAGAATTTAAAAATAGACAAATAAAAGAATTTTTTGAAAA